AGGAATGTTTGTTTTGTGGTGTCATAATAAGCTTTCTAACTTCCTTCATCATATCCAAAGTGCCAGAAAAAAGAAATTACTGAGAAGACTACGCAAAGTGAGAATATTTATGTTTTATCCTTTTAGGTTTACCTGAAAGCAAAATTAAAATGCCTTAAAGAGTGTATTGTTTTGATATCTCTGGTATCGAAACCTTAGTGTAGTCGGTTTTAGCTGTTGAATTTGTTCTCTTTGTGAATCCAGAGATATGAGATCAAAATTAAGATGTTGAGACGTATCTTTTCTTGGTGTTCCATAGTTTCTTGTTCCAATCTGCTTTTATTTGCTGGTGTATCGATTTGTATTGTCTGTACTCCTGTGCACATTGAATCATTGATATAGATGGTAGTGTTGTGGTGTGAAAAAATTGTATTGTCTGTGCTCCTGTGCACATTGATATAAATGGTAATGTTATATGTTCTGCTGATTGAGGTTGGACTTTATCAACACATTCTGCTGGGATGGGCAAGCAATCGGTAGCAGTTTTAAAATATAACCATTTTTGTGATGTTTAGTCTAATTACAGAGAAACCTACTTATATTTTACAAGTACAGGTACCCCCATTGAGGTTGTATCTGTAAGTCTACTATGAATATGCAGCCTACTACGAATATGCAGTGGTCATACTTTTTTAGGCAACTAATTGATTTTTAAAATCAAAAGTCATATTCCCAACACAAATATTTACATTATTCACTTAGTTTTATTATTAAGAATGTTTTTTCACATTAAATGTGAAGTTTTATTTGGAATTTGGGTTGTTAAATGAAACAAACTGCTTGTGAGCTCGGTTGGACTCAACTTGTTTGATAAGTGAGTCGAGCTCGAGTTCGAGTTCGTTTAAAAGACTAGTCGAGAATTGTTAGCTTGAGAATGGTGTTTTCTAGTTTCTAATATTTTTCTGAATTTTTAGCTTAGATCTTTATTAAAATGTGAATTCAATTTGTTAAAACTGATAAACAAATCAAACTCGACCAATTGATTGGAAGTATTAATTCGCACGAGTTGCGGATGGTCATTTTATAAGATCTTGCANGAAAAAAAACAAAAAAAAAAACAAACAAAAAAACAAAAAAAACTAGCTGATAGTTGATAAGTTGACTGATAAGTAAATCTACTTAAAAAGCTAGCCGATAGCTAGTAAGTTAGTTGATAAGTTATAAGTGAGTTTCGAGCTTATGGTTAAAGTTTATGACTGAAAAACTAGTTGACATAATAAAATTGTTCGGTAATAAGCTGATAAGCCAACTGAAATAAAATTTTAACAAACATATTTTGAAAGTTACCTAAGAAAGCTTATGAGATTAGCCTATTTAAAAAACATTGTCCTACCAACCCAAGTTTATTTGAATCCAAGAAACTTATAAACTAACTAAATAAGCTATAAGCTACCTTATGGTGCTTACCAAATACACTCTAAGCGAATTTCAAACTTATAGCTCATAACTTATGGCAGAAAAACGAATTGATATGATAGAATTATTTGGTAAAATTAACTTAATAAGCTAGTTACTAATTGATATGATAAAATTATTTAGTAAAATTAACTTAATAAGCCAGTTGAAATAAATTTTAATGGACTTATTTAAAAAGCTATGCAAGGAAGCTTATGAGGCAAGCTCATTTGCACATACAAAGCTTATTAACTAACGAAATAAATTATAAGCTAACTTATGCTTCTTACCAAACACACTCCATGTGTTTTATTTTTTCAAACATAACTAATACGTAGTCCTTGTGATGCACGCGACAAAGATGTTAAATAAGTCATCTCCAATCAGAACGGATAGGAGAAGAACAGACGAAAGAGAACACGGGCAGATACGAGATCCGACAGACGCGAAGGGAGACCACACCCGTACACGAGAAGGATAATTATATTTGTCTCTTTTTCTTTTTATTTATTATATTAGAGTAGTTTTTCTTTCTAGTTCCGGGAATGTCGGACCCTATGACTTGAAAATGTTTGATTAATTTTTGTAGTTGATAATTTAAATATGTTTTTGAAATTGTTTGTTATTTTGACTGAGCAACCATGATGTGTTTGGTTTTATTTAGATTGATCACCTAGATAAGATTTTTCATGTCTATAGAATTGAAATTGCAATCCGTAATTGTTATTGAGTTTAATTCATAACAGCAACCGAAAGATGGTAACTATCGGGGATGTTGTAGTGCAACAACAAAAGAAGGGAAACGATAAAACTCGATAGATACAATTCTTATTATTCTTCAACTGATCGTTCCATCACTTTACACAGAATAACTAGACTCCAAAGACCCCTAAACTCTTAACTTATTGACCAAATTTAATGCTAAAAGATAGACATCATCCTAACAATAAAAAGATAAATAAAGAATAACAAGATAAATAAGGAATATTAGTAATAAATACTATGCGAATAATTAAATATATTAACGCCAGGATTCAATCGTATTTCTCCAATGAAGCTATCGCGAGCTCGTCTTCATCAGGATAACACGGCCTATTTAAGTGAACCATGCGATTGGATTCACTACTTAGATTAGCCTATTTTTCTAAATCCTAAAGCAGCTAATTGTATTAAATCTAGAGAGCATGTCCTAGACTGTACAAGAAGTCAGGTTTAATCGTAGAGCGTCTCGCGGTTAAATTAAAAGTAATGAGAAATAACCTCGTCCTGCTTGAATTGATTAATCGGGTAGCAGAACGTGTTGTTACCTAGGACTAGTAATTCCGTAAGATAACGAGATTTGATACCAGAATTGATTAGATGAGTCGGCCGAGGGTGTAGACGGAACCGTGAACTAGATCTTCTCTTTATTTATTATATTCTATTTTTATTTTATTTCATCGTTTAGATTTTATTTATTTAATTAGGATCTTAGTTTTTAATCCAATCCCCCTCATTTATTGCTTTCTTAATTTCAGTTAATACAATATCACAATTTCATTCATACTCCTCGTGGGATCGACCCTTACTCGCCTTCTTAATTTCAGTTAATACGATATCACAATTTGATTCACACTTCTCGTGGGATCGACCCTTACTCGCCGCCACTGCTAGTTAGTCGAGATTAGTCGAGAATAAATATAAATTTTAATTTGTCGTGTTGCGACACGCGGTCACTTGACATTGTTTCGATGGATTTGTAAAAGAAGTAAGAGCATTATTTAATATATTCAGTTTCGGACCTAATAATTTAATGGTACACGACCAACCTTGAAAACATATATCATTAACATATAATATGAGTTTTATGTACTTGTTGATAGTCGATTTTTACTAACATAATAAAAAATATGTTAAATATAATAATTTGAGATGTAGAGAATAGAGCACTATAGTTTTATTCATAATTTTGGAAGAATATATAC